ATATATCCTCCTACTTAAAGTGGAATTGCAGACATGGAACACAACACTTTAATCCAGTATTGTACCCATTAAAATGATTAAAGGTATTTTAAATACAACTAGTAAAGTTGCCTTAGGCCCCGTTCCCACTGCGCGATATGCAAATCGCGCGTTTGTCGCACGATTTGCATATTGCGCGACATCGCGAGATTTGCAGCGCGATATCGCATTCAAGCTTGCATTGAGCAAGCTTGAATTGCGGCTAAATCCGCTCCAAAAAGGGTCCTGCTGTAGCGACACACGACCCGCGACAGCAGGACCCTTTGCCCCATTGAAATGCATTGGAGCGCGATATCGCGCAGTAATTTGCCGCGGTATCGCGGGAATTACCGTGCGATAAATCGCTCAATGTGAACGGGGTTTTAATGTGTCTTTATTTTAGCCCCCTGTTTGGAGGCCAGCACTGTAAGTTTATAAGGGCTCTATTGCTTGGTTCAATGCTGTAAGTTAAATATTGTGGATATACTTACAAAAGGAAGGAGCACACGGATGACTTCATCCACCTGCTCTTTTATTGTCCAGTACATGGTCTGGAGCAGGAAATCTTCACCCATAAGTGTGTATTAAGCATTTGCCCATTGATAGAGTGAAAATACTTACATTTCTATTGAACCCCTTTTTTTAAGAGAACCTTCTAAACAAACTATGAACAACATAGTAAAAAATATTTAAATATAAGCCAGGACAGTTTTTCTTTGTATTAGTGCATGTATATCTCTATATACTGTATGTGCACACACATGTGTTTGGAATAAGTTTATTTATACCTACCAGTGTGGAATTGTAAATGGTACAAATGATGCATGCCTCATGACTTCATTGATAAATGCTTCTGTGTAATGCAAAGCTTTTCTATCGTCAAATCTTGGTGATCTGCTGATTCCAATATTTTCATCTGTAGAAAAAATAGGTACACAGATGAATAGTAGAAAGTCCAAGAGTTATGATCAGTACGGTTGTGATGTAGAAGCTGAGATAACTAATATGTATTAACAAATATGCAGCGCCAATCTTGTGAATGTGCCTAACTAAGTAATAACTAAATGACATGTGTACCACTATTGGTCCATCGACCTGTATTCCAACCGTGATGAGTGATGAATGAAAATAAACGATCAGCATGTATAGGTCACTATACAGTTTCAAAATTATCTAGTGTCCAAAATATATCCGCCAAACATATAAAAAACAGTGTATAGCTCTAAATATAAGTGAAACAGTGCAAAAATAAGTGACTGAGTTACGTACTCGTATATACACCTGTGTATCTGTGATTCAATAATCCTGGGCAGTGTACCCTGCAATATCCTGTTTAAATATTACTATTAGTGTTAAAACACAGTGAATAGTCCATATAGTCCTATAACATTCCTGGTGCAACAAAATTTATCGCAATCCGTGCGTTGATGTGGGCGATCCTATGAAACTTGCTGTGGATTTAGGCGAGTGCCGTACGTCTCCCCTCAAAGTGTGCACTCACCGTGATCTGATGGCTGTAGTAAGCAGCCGAAAGCGCTTGTATAGTAACTCATGGAGCCGCAACGTCCTCACTGTGTCTTTTTCCAATCAGTGTCCAGCAGGCGGCGTGTCATTCTTCAGATTCCTGATGGGGCAATGAGTTTTGACTTTCAAGAAAGGTCACTCCAGCGCAGCCACAGATTGTGTCTCCAGCTTAGGAAGAGCAGTATCTGCTAGAAGAATGAACAAAAGGATTGTAAATGATGTGTGCCTCTTCTCCTTTATCTGGGTGTGCTTCTTCGGAATCCAGCATAGGGGAAGCAGCAATTGCTGCTATAGAGACACCACCCCACACAGTAATATCATTTTCGATCCTTCGATCCTTTTGTTCATTCTTACTACAGCCATCAGATCACGGTGAGTGCACACTTTGAGGGGAGACGTACGGCACTCGCCTAAATCCCCAGCAAGTTTCATAGTATCGCCCACATCAACGCACGGATTGCGATAAATTTTGTTGCACCAGGAATGTTATAGGACTATATGGACTATTCACTGTGTTTTAACACTAATAGTAATAACAGGGCTCTTTGCCTAAGGCTCAGGTCAGACAAGCATTTCTACCTGCTATGCAGCATGGATGGTAAAGGGGGGTATGGTACCCAGATACTGCACAATGGCTCAGTGGTTAGTAATGTGACCATACAACACTGAGATTCTGGTTTCAGATTACATCAGTTGCATTACACAGTACATAAAGTAGGGCTGTTACTGATTAAAATTTTTGTGTTTGATTAATCGAAATTTTTTGTATCGATTAATTATAACGCACATACAGATCCAACTACATTGGCCTATACACATACAGCACAGCAATGAAGTAATAAAATGAACTAGGATCACACTAATCCAGCATGTTATTAATCTCACGTGCCCCACTCAATATGGCCGCCGCTTGAGTGGGGCAACTCAGAATAATAACGTGCTGGATTAGTGTGATCCTAGTTCATTTTATTACTTCATTGCTCTTCTGTATGTGTATAGGCCAATGCCTTGGAGTTTGGTCCACACTTGTGGGCACACTGACTAGCTGGGAATATTGTAGAAGAAAGGTTCGATGTCAATTGGCAGGCTGCACAGTGATGTTCCCTTTACATGTAAGTATAACCTATTTAAAAATTGATACGGCAGAACAAGTTTCTTGGGCAAACTCACCGGCCCAAGTGGCTCCTTCAGCTAACGAAGGGAATCGGGGAGGAGTCCAGTGACGTCACGGACATCAACGTCACCGGACTCCTCCCCCTTCCCTTAGTTAGCCCACGGAGCCACTTGGGGAAGCGGGAGGAGTCTGGTGACGTTGATGATCGTGACGTCACCGGATCTCCGACGGGACTCCCGGAAGCCGGCGGAGAGGTGAGTATTTGCATTAGCGATCAAAAGCAATTTAATCGATCAAAAATGTTAACGATTAATCAAGGAATTAATCGTTAATTTCCACAGCCCTAATATAAAGCATGCTTATCAATTTCAGCCTTATTAGGTAATTATTATTATACCTGTTATTAAACTTAACATGCAACTGTGCCCAGACTATAACCTTTAAATTATGCACATAGCCTTAACAAGCAGAAAATAAGCATTAAAACAGGTCATCCCTGACCTCTTTAGCCGCTTGTTATGTGAAACAATTCGTTCTCAAACATCCTCACAACAAAGACTCTGAAGTTGGGTTTCATCCATACTTACAGCAAAGAAAGACATGGTGCTTTTTTACATTAGAGGGCTAATACGATATCTGAAGGAGTGGGTACTGGTGCACATTTGCTAACCTTAGCTAGGAAAGAGGGACATTAACATAGGACACACCCCTTTTACACACCCCAATCGCATGGGTCACTGAACTAATGTGCATCAATGATTACGTAAATCCATCTTAGTGTTTAAAAATAATCCATGCAGTAACCCTAGGGGTGTAAGAAAGTTTTGTGCAATATAGCATACACTTTGGCAGTTAAATTATTAATTTATTTATACAGATTTCTACACTACAGCTAAAAGAGGCACTGTTGAGAAACTCCCTGCTGGAATGCTGCTGAGTTATTGCTGGCAGGGAGGAGCATGGGGAGCTTAGCTGCTGAGAGAAAGTGCCAGTGCTACGGCTGTAATCTCTGAGGATGAATTGATCCACAGTGCCTGCCGCTAGAGAGGTCAGTGAGGTCTTGTGATAAAGCTCATTTGCTGCTTGTTAAGAATAAGTAAATACTTGATTGTTAATTGTCTGGACACGGAATCAGTTCAATTTAAGCTCCTGAACCACCTGCTCTTATACTTAAGCTAAGTGCCCCAAATCTGACAGCAGCTGTACTTGTCATCCACTAGCTACAGTGAGAGAGTAGTACAAGCTCCAGGGTTGTAGTTTTTAAACTAAAACTGCATTAAAGTAATACAAATGTTTTACCTATTTCCTTGTGAATTTTATCTTGTATCTCAGGATACTTCAATAAGTATAGCATACACCACAGTAGTCCAGAGGATATGGTGTCAAATCCTAAAAAGGGAAAATAGTATTACAAATAATCTTATATCTTTCTTGAAGTATTAAAGTTATCCATCTCCATCGAAAGTTATAGAATTTATTAGAAAAGGCAGAACCGATCTAGAGCACTTAGGCCTTACTTGCCCACTGCCTTTATGGTCATACTTAAAAATCTGCAACTACAGTATATTACAGGACCAAAAGCCATATGTTCTGGGAATACAGCGAATAGGCACACAATTTCTATTCTATAAAATACCCTTAACAAAAATGGAAGGCTGCACCCACTTCCCTTTAAGACTCAATGGGAAGAAGATCTACATACCTCTATTTGAATGTGATGAGGTGAAAGCATAAATGCTCTCACCTGCTTCTCTCGGGATCAGGGAAAAGAGAACGGGGGCAGACCTCGCCGTTCCCCGACACGCCCTAGCGTTATATACTTCCCAGTGACCCCTTCTCTTGCCTACCACACCCTAATTTCCCTCATTCGACATCTCTCCCCTTTTTTTCCTCCTCCTGTTCTCATTTTGCTTACCCTCATCATGCCCCGTATTTCTTCTTTCTACTCCAGCTCTACATATCTCCTCCTCAAATCTTGTTCTTTATCTTCCACTTTAGGATCCGTTCCTTCTCTCTGACTTTTCAAGCTCCGAGACACATCAAGATGTGTTATACAAAATTACATTTTGACACTACACCGTATAAATCACACCTGAGCGAACTACTTGGTCTACCATCACTTTCTGAAAGTATTTCCATGTAAAGATTGGATGTGACTTGAAACCTTTACAAGCCAGTTTCCATATGTTATGTAACATGAAAACATTTACATTTGGTTACATGCTTAAATAAAATTATTAGATGCACTGAAGAATTTTGTTATGCTGTTACCAGTGTGGAATACATTTTTTTATCTCTAAGAAGGTGGCTGTTAGTTATTGTAGAACATGGTGGCTTTCATGTATGAAAGCTCGGTTCTCTGAAAAAACAAGATGGCTTTGCATCGATGGTCATCTCATGGAAAACATTTGCATAATACATGTGTATCTGCATTACAAAGCTCAGAGGACTAAGACAAGCTACTAACAAGGGTTTGTTTAATTCTCCAAACAAAACTGATCGGTAGAGTTAACTTGGCATTTCCATTATAGCCTTTTAGCCAGTATTGGGCATATTGACTAACTAACCAAAAAGTGTATGCACTTGTAAGAGGGCTATTGGAGATATTTTTTTTTCTGCATATCTGTTAAGAGATTTCAGAAGGATCTTGAGAACTTGTCTCCCTAGAGTTAGTGGTGGGATATACAGCTCAGGAAATCAGAAGAAGAGGTAAGGCATACAGTGCTTCCTAAATCTATATGTCTGCATCTGCTTATAATTTGAACCTTTCCTTTTCACCAAATGTAGCCTTTGAGTAGTAATATTACAATCATATGCTCCGTTTAACTTGCCAAATTTGCAACTGATTTACTTTAAAGTCGTGGTTTTTTTGGTTTACTTTGCCTGTTTTTTGTTTTTTTTTTATAAACCTGTGTCGTTTTCAGCATTTGTTTCTGCAAATTACAAAAACATTTTTGCACTTCAAAAGGACAAAGTACAATGAAAGCATATATTTCACCACCCTTCCTAAAAAGGCCCACTTCATCAAACAATAAAATATATTAGGGGCTGAAAATGTTAGTGCACACATTATAATTACTGAATGGACAGTGAGATGTAGTATAATATCACCTGCACCAAATATGTCATTCACAGTGATGATGATCTGTTCATCAGTTAGTTTGTGATGTTTATCCTCATTGTTTCTGTTACTGCAGAGCTGGATCAGGGCATCTGTTATATCTCTGATATTATTCTAGAAAGCAATGAGAGAAATAGTTCTATTAATACACAAAAAAGGATTTAGTTTTTAATGTCCTAATATAATCCCACAGGGATTTATGATTTGGTTAACATTTGGTTCATTTGATTTGGTTCATATTTGGTTAACATTTTGAACCATTTGCAAAACATGCACTTATAGAAGCTTTGCATGTTATGTAATATAATTAGAAAAAAATATTTTCAGTATGTGTATATCTGCAACTTTCATTAAAATAATGCTTGGTGATGCTGCAATCAAGGTCCTTGTTAAGGAACTCACTGTTTTAGGATGACAACATTATTGGTAGTGTACACTCCATTCAGGTCCCTGCACAGCAGCATGGTGCGCTGTACTGCTGTACTGTGGTGTGGTGACCTCCAGTGGCACCCAGTGCAGCGTGATGCATTTTTTTGCAGGGCAGCACATTGCACAACACACCCAAGTTGTGGTGTGAACTGGTTACATAGAAAACAACGGCTTTATATGTGTCTTAGCAGTGACCTGTACTGACCCCATGTGGTAAAACGCAGGTCACCCTTGTATATGTGAACGGCCCTGAATATTCCCTTACTAACAGATCACTAATCATCAGGGGGCAGCTCTGACAGGAAGAACCAAATATCTACTCTTCTACCAAGATGACTGCTTTTACACAGACACAGTACAGAATCTGTCTTAATTGGCCCTGTATGTATTCATGTGCGATAGGGACCTTAGGTTGTAAGCTCCTTAAGGGCAGGGACTGATGTAAATGTGTGATGTAAAGAGCTGCGTAAATTGTCTGCGCTATCTAAATACCAAAAATAAATAAACAAATAAATAAATAAGCCATGGTAAGTCAGTAATGGGGGAAAAATCAGCTGCAGGTAGGCTACAGGGAATACTGGTGACTAATCCTTTGCCATCCGCTTGTCTTTTTGGACATGGAGGTCCTCTTTCAAAAACCATTTAATTTAAAGTAGACATGTAGTTAGAAAGTAGGCAACCTCTGCCTTGGGACTAATTTAAACAGCATTGCCAGAAATCAGTAATAAAGACAGCAATAAAACTTGAGTTTAATTTTTTTTGTTTAAATCACAGGGTACTTTCAACTATCCATTATCTGCTGAAAACTGATATATGATTTTAGGTGGATGGAACCATTTCACCTATGTCCAATATGTATGACATATTAATGAAATCAGAATGTGTTGGAAAAAACAAAAAAGGTAATAGCCCCACCTTGCTTCCTTGAAAATATAAGGTAATAGCCCCACCTTCAAATATACATTATAACATTAGAAGACATTTACTAAAGGAGTATAGACAGTTCATTTAACTGTGTTTACTTTGAATAGCAAATTATGTGGAAGGAACATTATAGTGTATGTCAAGGCAAAGCGTTTGCATAGAGTGGCAAGGATTAGATTCTTTGTCAAGTTTTTATTGTATTGCCTCCTGTGTCCCTATTGATTTACCACTCTGTTTGCACTAGTGAACATTATCACAGGGACCAAAAGTTAGCGGAAATCCAAGATTTTAGAGTTGGCAAGTTAACCTCAATGAATAGTAACATAAAAATATAGTCACAAGACTAGAAGGTCACAATACTACAAGGTGATAAAATATAAGGCAAAGCTTCATAGCATTGTAACACTGATTAGGTAGCACCAGTTGCAACTGGCATCAAACAATGACATTTCCATTCACAGTAGTAAACAAGGAAAAATATTAAAACTGATTTGTTGCTGTGACTTACTGCACTTTGCAACACTTACCAAGCCTGGCACACTCCATTAGCTCAAGTAGCTGATTAGTGAAGACTGTACATACAGATCTCGCACGTGTATATTCTTTTCGGACGTATTATCAATTTTTGGAACTGTTTATATTACTGTATTACTGTTGGCGTCATACACATATTTATTTATGATTACCTAAATCCCCAGCAAGTTTCATAGTATCGCCCACATCAACGCACGGATTGCGATAAATTTTGTTGCACCAGGAATGTTATAGGACTATATGGACTATTCACTGTGTTTTAACACTAATAGTAATAACAGGGCTCTTTGCCTAAGGCTCAGGTCAGACAAGCATTTCTACCTGCTATGCAGCATGGATGGTAAAGGGGGGTATGGTACCCAGATACTGCACAATGGCTCAGTGGTTAGTAATGTGACCATACAACACTGAGATTCTGGTTTCAGATTACATCAGTTGCATTACACAGTACATAAAGTAGGGCTGTTACTGATTAAAATTTTTGTGTTTGATTAATCGAAATTTTTTGTATCGATTAATTATAACGCACATACAGATCCAACTACATTGGCCTATACACATACAGCACAGCAATGAAGTAATAAAATGAACTAGGATCACACTAATCCAGCATGTTATTAATCTCACGTGCCCCACTCAATATGGCCGCCGCTTGAGTGGGGCAACTCAGAATAATAACGTGCTGGATTAGTGTGATCCTAGTTCATTTTATTACTTCATTGCTCTTCTGTATGTGTATAGGCCAATGCCTTGGAGTTTGGTCCACACTTGTGGGCACACTGACTAGCTGGGAATATTGTAGAAGAAAGGTTCGATGTCAATTGGCAGGCTGCACAGTGATGTTCCCTTTACATGTAAGTATAACCTATTTAAAAATTGATACGGCAGAACAAGTTTCTTGGGCAAACTCACCGGCCCAAGTGGCTCCTTCAGCTAACGAAGGGAATCGGGGAGGAGTCCAGTGACGTCACGGACATCAACGTCACCGGACTCCTCCCCCTTCCCTTAGTTAGCCCACGGAGCCACTTGGGGAAGCGGGAGGAGTCTGGTGACGTTGATGATCGTGACGTCACCGGATCTCCGACGGGACTCCCGGAAGCCGGCGGAGAGGTGAGTATTTGCATTAGCGATCAAAAGCAATTTAATCGATCAAAAATGTTAACGATTAATCAAGGAATTAATCGTTAATTTCCACAGCCCTAATATAAAGCATGCTTATCAATTTCAGCCTTATTAGGTAATTATTATTATACCTGTTATTAAACTTAACATGCAACTGTGCCCAGACTATAACCTTTAAATTATGCACATAGCCTTAACAAGCAGAAAATAAGCATTAAAACAGGTCATCCCTGACCTCTTTAGCCGCTTGTTATGTGAAACAATTCGTTCTCAAACATCCTCACAACAAAGACTCTGAAGTTGGGTTTCATCCATACTTACAGCAAAGAAAGACATGGTGCTTTTTTACATTAGAGGGCTAATACGATATCTGAAGGAGTGGGTACTGGTGCACATTTGCTAACCTTAGCTAGGAAAGAGGGACATTAACATAGGACACACCCCTTTTACACACCCCAATCGCATGGGTCACTGAACTAATGTGCATCAATGATTACGTAAATCCATCTTAGTGTTTAAAAATAATCCATGCAGTAACCCTAGGGGTGTAAGAAAGTTTTGTGCAATATAGCATACACTTTGGCAGTTAAATTATTAATTTATTTATACAGATTTCTACACTACAGCTAAAAGAGGCACTGTTGAGAAACTCCCTGCTGGAATGCTGCTGAGTTATTGCTGGCAGGGAGGAGCATGGGGAGCTTAGCTGCTGAGAGAAAGTGCCAGTGCTACGGCTGTAATCTCTGAGGATGAATTGATCCACAGTGCCTGCCGCTAGAGAGGTCAGTGAGGTCTTGTGATAAAGCTCATTTGCTGCTTGTTAAGAATAAGTAAATACTTGATTGTTAATTGTCTGGACACGGAATCAGTTCAATTTAAGCTCCTGAACCACCTGCTCTTATACTTAAGCTAAGTGCCCCAAATCTGACAGCAGCTGTACTTGTCATCCACTAGCTACAGTGAGAGAGTAGTACAAGCTCCAGGGTTGTAGTTTTTAAACTAAAACTGCATTAAAGTAATACAAATGTTTTACCTATTTCCTTGTGAATTTTATCTTGTATCTCAGGATACTTCAATAAGTATAGCATACACCACAGTAGTCCAGAGGATATGGTGTCAAATCCTAAAAAGGGAAAATAGTATTACAAATAATCTTATATCTTTCTTGAAGTATTAAAGTTATCCATCTCCATCGAAAGTTATAGAATTTATTAGAAAAGGCAGAACCGATCTAGAGCACTTAGGCCTTACTTGCCCACTGCCTTTATGGTCATACTTAAAAATCTGCAACTACAGTATATTACAGGACCAAAAGCCATATGTTCTGGGAATACAGCGAATAGGCACACAATTTCTATTCTATAAAATACCCTTAACAAAAATGGAAGGCTGCACCCACTTCCCTTTAAGACTCAATGGGAAGAAGATCTACATACCTCTATTTGAATGTGATGAGGTGAAAGCATAAATGCTCTCACCTGCTTCTCTCGGGATCAGGGAAAAGAGAACGGGGGCAGACCTCGCCGTTCCCCGACACGCCCTAGCGTTATATACTTCCCAGTGACCCCTTCTCTTGCCTACCACACCCTAATTTCCCTCATTCGACATCTCTCCCCTTTTTTTCCTCCTCCTGTTCTCATTTTGCTTACCCTCATCATGCCCCGTATTTCTTCTTTCTACTCCAGCTCTACATATCTCCTCCTCAAATCTTGTTCTTTATCTTCCACTTTAGGATCCGTTCCTTCTCTCTGACTTTTCAAGCTCCGAGACACATCAAGATGTGTTATACAAAATTACATTTTGACACTACACCGTATAAATCACACCTGAGCGAACTACTTGGTCTACCATCACTTTCTGAAAGTATTTCCATGTAAAGATTGGATGTGACTTGAAACCTTTACAAGCCAGTTTCCATATGTTATGTAACATGAAAACATTTACATTTGGTTACATGCTTAAATAAAATTATTAGATGCACTGAAGAATTTTGTTATGCTGTTACCAGTGTGGAATACATTTTTTTATCTCTAAGAAGGTGGCTGTTAGTTATTGTAGAACATGGTGGCTTTCATGTATGAAAGCTCGGTTCTCTGAAAAAACAAGATGGCTTTGCATCGATGGTCATCTCATGGAAAACATTTGCATAATACATGTGTATCTGCATTACAAAGCTCAGAGGACTAAGACAAGCTACTAACAAGGGTTTGTTTAATTCTCCAAACAAAACTGATCGGTAGAGTTAACTTGGCATTTCCATTATAGCCTTTTAGCCAGTATTGGGCATATTGACTAACTAACCAAAAAGTGTATGCACTTGTAAGAGGGCTATTGGAGATATTTTTTTTTCTGCATATCTGTTAAGAGATTTCAGAAGGATCTTGAGAACTTGTCTCCCTAGAGTTAGTGGTGGGATATACAGCTCAGGAAATCAGAAGAAGAGGTAAGGCATACAGTGCTTCCTAAATCTATATGTCTGCATCTGCTTATAATTTGAACCTTTCCTTTTCACCAAATGTAGCCTTTGAGTAGTAATATTACAATCATATGCTCCGTTTAACTTGCCAAATTTGCAACTGATTTACTTTAAAGTCGTGGTTTTTTTGGTTTACTTTGCCTGTTTTTTGTTTTTTTTTTATAAACCTGTGTCGTTTTCAGCATTTGTTTCTGCAAATTACAAAAACATTTTTGCACTTCAAAAGGACAAAGTACAATGAAAGCATATATTTCACCACCCTTCCTAAAAAGGCCCACTTCATCAAACAATAAAATATATTAGGGGCTGAAAATGTTAGTGCACACATTATAATTACTGAATGGACAGTGAGATGTAGTATAATATCACCTGCACCAAATATGTCATTCACAGTGATGATGATCTGTTCATCAGTTAGTTTGTGATGTTTATCCTCATTGTTTCTGTTACTGCAGAGCTGGATCAGGGCATCTGTTATATCTCTGATATTATTCTAGAAAGCAATGAGAGAAATAGTTCTATTAATACACAAAAAAGGATTTAGTTTTTAATGTCCTAATATAATCCCACAGGGATTTATGATTTGGTTAACATTTGGTTCATTTGATTTGGTTCATATTTGGTTAACATTTTGAACCATTTGCAAAACATGCACTTATAGAAGCTTTGCATGTTATGTAATATAATTAGAAAAAAATATTTTCAGTATGTGTATATCTGCAACTTTCATTAAAATAATGCTTGGTGATGCTGCAATCAAGGTCCTTGTTAAGGAACTCACTGTTTTAGGATGACAACATTATTGGTAGTGTACACTCCATTCAGGTCCCTGCACAGCAGCATGGTGCGCTGTACTGCTGTACTGTGGTGTGGTGACCTCCAGTGGCACCCAGTGCAGCGTGATGCATTTTTTTGCAGGGCAGCACATTGCACAACACACCCAAGTTGTGGTGTGAACTGGTTACATAGAAAACAACGGCTTTATATGTGTCTTAGCAGTGACCTGTACTGACCCCATGTGGTAAAACGCAGGTCACCCTTGTATATGTGAACGGCCCTGAATATTCCCTTACTAACAGATCACTAATCATCAGGGGGCAGCTCTGACAGGAAGAACCAAATATCTACTCTTCTACCAAGATGACTGCTTTTACACAGACACAGTACAGAATCTGTCTTAATTGGCCCTGTATGTATTCATGTGCGATAGGGACCTTAGGTTGTAAGCTCCTTAAGGGCAGGGACTGATGTAAATGTGTGATGTAAAGAGCTGCGTAAATTGTCTGCGCTATCTAAATACCAAAAATAAATAAACAAATAAATAAATAAGCCATGGTAAGTCAGTAATGGGGGAAAAATCAGCTGCAGGTAGGCTACAGGGAATACTGGTGACTAATCCTTTGCCATCCGCTTGTCTTTTTGGACATGGAGGTCCTCTTTCAAAAACCATTTAATTTAAAGTAGACATGTAGTTAGAAAGTAGGCAACCTCTGCCTTGGGACTAATTTAAACAGCATTGCCAGAAATCAGTAATAAAGACAGCAATAAAACTTGAGTTTAATTTTTTTTGTTTAAATCACAGGGTACTTTCAACTATCCATTATCTGCTGAAAACTGATATATGATTTTAGGTGGATGGAACCATTTCACCTATGTCCAATATGTATGACATATTAATGAAATCAGAATGTGTTGGAAAAAACAAAAAAGGTAATAGCCCCACCTTGCTTCCTTGAAAATATAAGGTAATAGCCCCACCTTCAAATATACATTATAACATTAGAAGACATTTACTAAAGGAGTATAGACAGTTCATTTAACTGTGTTTACTTTGAATAGCAAATTATGTGGAAGGAACATTATAGTGTATGTCAAGGCAAAGCGTTTGCATAGAGTGGCAAGGATTAGATTCTTTGTCAAGTTTTTATTGTATTGCCTCCTGTGTCCCTATTGATTTACCACTCTGTTTGCACTAGTGAACATTATCACAGGGACCAAAAGTTAGCGGAAATCCAAGATTTTAGAGTTGGCAAGTTAACCTCAATGAATAGTAACATAAAAATATAGTCACAAGACTAGAAGGTCACAATACTACAAGGTGATAAAATATAAGGCAAAGCTTCATAGCATTGTAACACTGATTAGGTAGCACCAGTTGCAACTGGCATCAAACAATGACATTTCCATTCACAGTAGTAAACAAGGAAAAATATTAAAACTGATTTGTTGCTGTGACTTACTGCACTTTGCAACACTTACCAAGCCTGGCACACTCCATTAGCTCAAGTAGCTGATTAGTGAAGACTGTACATACAGATCTCGCACGTGTATATTCTTTTCGGACGTATTATCAATTTTTGGAACTGTTTATATTACTGTATTACTGTTGGCGTCATACACATATTTATTTATGATTGCCACATTGGAGGGATTTTCACTATTTTTCAGATATTTATGAGATTTATTTACAGGGATATTCACAGAGCTGCCAAAGGCAGCCGAGTGAATAACTGAGCCAAAGTGAACAGAGCCGAACGACGGGTATTACTCCGGCTCAGTATGGCTGATTTCAACCGTACATCGGTACAAGTGCAGAGGGACTTCGACTCAGCCGGTCCAACATCTGGATCAGCTGAGACGAAGCTCCGGTAGCTGATTCGCTGCTGTTCACCCCTATTCTCATAGGGGCCGAACGGCAGTGAGTGAATAGCCGAATGCCGCAGGGCGGCATTCAGCTAGGTTATTTTGCACGGTACCTTCGTGGTACAGAGCAGAATATAAAATAAGTGAAAGAGATTATGGGGCCCCCTTGGGCTTAACATATATAAAATCCACCCAATGCATTATTACAAGGGGTGGGCAAATTTCATTCATCTAGCTGTGGTAAAACTATAAATCCCATCATGCATCTGGCTGTGGGCGTCATGTATATGCAAAAGTATTGCAATGCATCATGGGTCTTGGAGCTCCACCACAGTTACAGAGCCAGAGTTTGCCCACCCCTGAAGATCCTCTACAATTTAGGAATGATCGCTGTACAAATCAACGCACAGCAAGCCTCAGTCCAAAACCAACGTACGGCAAACCTCAGACCAGAACCAACACACTGCAAACCTCAGACCAAAACCAACACACTGCAAACCTTAGACAAGAACCAACGCACTACAAATCTCAGGCTAGAACCAACACACTGCAAACCTCAGATCAGAACTAACGCACTGCAAACCTCAGACCAGAACTAACGCACTGCAAACTTCAGACTAGAACTAACGCACTGCAAACCTCAGATCAGAACTAACGCACTGCAGACCTCAGATCAGAACCAACGCACGGCAGACCTCAGATCAGAACCAATGCACGGCAGAACTCAAAACAGAACCAACGCACGGCAGACTTCAGACCAGAACCAACGCACGGCAGACCTCAGAACAGAACCAACGCACGGCAGACCTCAGAACAGAGCCAACGCATGGCAGACCTCACACACACAACACACACATAACACATAAGGGCATACATGTCCTCACTCACACTGGGCATGCATGTCCATGCGGCGTGCACGCCTGTAAACAGCCGATCCCGGGAGGGACAGGGGCTGCATGTGGCTGCATGCAGCAGCCTGTTCTTCTCTATGGGAGGACACAGTTGTACATCATACGGACACCCGGACTTCACATCTATGCGGGTACGGGGGCTCCGCACTTGGACGCAGAAAGGGTCCATCAGACACGGATGACACCGTACAGCCGCGTCTTCCCATAGAGGAGAACAGGCTGCTGCGCGCAATCACACGTGTGTGATGTGCTCCCAGTGTGAATGAGGCCTAATACACACACACAACACTTAATACGCATACACACACAACACATAATACACACACAGCACACACACAATACACATACAGTACACACAATACACATGCAATACACACAGAATACACACGCAATACAGTACACACAATACACACGCAATACAGTACACACAATGCAGGACACGCACACACAGCATTACTATGCAGCCCGCTCATAGTTCAAGAAGCCAGGGGAGGAAGAGAGGAGAAGGCTGAGACAGGGAGAAGAATCCCCCCTTCCCCCTCGCCACGCTGCTCCAGGCCGGAATGTAAAGTGTATAGGAGAAAGTGTGAGTGCAGGAGAACTCCTCATACCTGCTGACAGCTTGCCTCCTCCGTCCTCCAGTTGTCTCACTCCTGGCTGAATCTCTGCCCGACCTTCTAGGCCCCCCTTCCCCAGTGCCCTCAGGTGCCCTGGCAATGCCTGCAGAGGGAGAGGGGTATCATCCACCCTGGCTGAATGATATTATATGCCCCCCTAGTATCGGCGCTGACAGGATGTGTGGAGGCAGACTCCCCTAGCCCGTGCTGCGTTCGGTCCCCGCTCACTTGATGGGGCCCGCCTAGTACAGGGCAGCTGCCTGTACACCCCTATCGGCAGGCCTGGTCACTGGCCCCAGGGCCGGCCTTAGGCCTTTTGGCGCCCTGTGCGAGAAAGCTTTACAGCGCCCCTCAGTGACCACACCCCTCGGTGACCACACCCCACAGTGGCCACACCCTAACTCCGCACATGTCTAATAATATGTGCGTGTGTGGGGGGCAGGGGGGGCAGTTTTCACTTTTTAAAAATAATTGTTTAAATTTTTTTTTCATATTTTTTTATTTTATTATTATTTATTTGTTTTGTACTGTTGGGGGGTCTTCGGGGAAATATTAGGGGTCCAAACAGACCCCTGACATTTCCCTTTTAAAATAGGAAAGAAATTGAGGACACCAAATCCTCAATTTCTTTTTCTGCAGCCTCAGCACTCAATGAATGGGAAGCACTCAGTACAGAGGCTTCCCATTCATTCAGACACAGTACATATTTATCTATCATCAATCAGCTGTTTCTGAATGGGGAGGAGCCTCTGTAGTGAGTGCTTCTCCCCATTGAGGAAATCTTGAATGAACAGGCTGTGATGTAAATCACAGCCTGTTCATTCATAACTGGGGACACATAGTACTATGTGTCCCCAGTTATTTACAAACACTGGAGTGATCAGACGATCGCTCCAGTGTTTGGCCTTCTCACACGGAGAACCGGTAAATATCATTGATATTTACCGATCCCTGGCTCTGCCACGCACAGAGCCGCTGTCATCCTGAAACTGACAGGATGACAGCGGCTCCGATCTCCTACCCGCTCGGCCATCCTGACAGCTGCGGGCGCGGCTTCTCTCCAGACAAGCTGTGTCGGTCGCACGGTGCCCTTGTTGTCATGGCGACCTTTGCGGCCGCACAGCTCGCACACCCCTAAGGTTGGCCCTCATGGGCCCCATGCTGGTCGCGGGCCCTCGGGCCGTGCCCGACTCCCCGATGGGTCAGTCTGCCCCTGGGTCGAAGAATTAATTTTTAAATGATCAAAAATAGGAAAATGTAAAAAAATATATAAAGATATTTAAGGAAGGAAAACGAAAAAAAATTATAACAAAAAACAATTGGGCAGTGCTGGGCAGCTTTAGCAGTGACAGCTAGCTCCAGCTAACTGTTTCCTATTGGCCGGAAACCTGCTAGAGTCTTTTAGCAGGTCCCGGCCAATGAATAACAACTGGGCAGAGCTGGCAGTGACGTCACGGCCGGCTCATTCCAGTTGTTATTGTTTAATAACAGATCAGCGCCCCCGGGTCAATTGAGGACGCTGATCTGTCATTACAACATTACAGCTGTCATTTGCAGGACGAACGGTCGACTGAACCAAACCAAAGAGAGCCGAAGCATCAGCTGAAGCTATGCTGTATCTTTCTGCTCATTAGTGAATAACCCCTTAGTGTCTGGAGTCTATGTACATTGGGCTTATTAGGGGAAGAGTGACATAATTTTTAGATAGATTTATCTACACCTCTACACCAGGTGACCCCTTCTTCTGGCAGCTTGACATGTTTTAAATATAGAATCCCTTTCCTATCCATTGTATGGTTTGATTACAGATCTTAAAAAAAACATTACATGCAAATATTATAACATTGGATATGTCACTTAAAACAAAAACTAAACTATGGTGAAAGAGTTCAACGAAGATGAGGAAGAACTGAATTCGTTTATTTCCTGCATTTGGCCCACGTAACTTGAATAGGGGCTAATTTAGGATGAGTAACAACAAGTGTTCTGCCCTCAGGCATGGGACTTTTGACTTATCGACCTGCCATCTCAAAATCAGCCACATTTCCTTTACAACAGAGCACACTGTTCTTCTATGGTAAGTTCACAGCAACCTCTAGCTCTAGAAGAAAGGAAGAAGTGCATTCTGGGAACTCAGCCTCCATTTTGGAGAAGAGAATCTGATGCCATCCTAAGCGCATGTATGGAGTAAACACCCAGATTCCCCTTACGGCAGCATCACTGGTAGGGACGGACTTGTTTCTCTGAATATTTGTGAGCTATCACTCTATTTACATATATCATGTATTGATTTTGTGTTTTCATGTTCTTTTTTTACCAGTTTCACCCCAACCTGTTTTGTTCATAAAGCTTTAAAGGTTAAGTACACCTTTTGCAAAAATTAGAGAAATGCATATTTGATAATAAAAAAATATGCATTTCTTTCATTTTTGCATTTAAGCCTGGGAAGCATTGCAATGGTGATCACTCGATCACAGCTGCAAAGCTTAGGCTTCTGCACATTTTCCTACAGGCAGAGCTCTGTACTGAGATATGGAGTTTCAGATAGGAGAGATGGAGAAGGGCAGCTGGACAGGAATAAGGACAGCTCTACCGCATCTAACCAGAGGGAGGATGGCTGGATGCTGTATGAGGTGATTTAATGCAGTTTGAAGTCCAGCCGTCCTCATTCCCGTCCAGCTCTGCCTGTATGAGATTGTGCTGAAGCCTGAGCTCTGCAGCCCTGATCGAGTGATCAGCGTTGCAGTACTTCCCAGGCTTAAATGCAAAAATGAAAGAAATGGATTTTGTTTTTATATTATCAAATATGCATTTCTTTAATTTTTGCAAAAGGTGAACTTAGCCTTTAAGATTTAATCCAGTCTGGCTTATTGCAGAATAAAAGGGTTTAGCTGCATGTCGAGCTATACAGGCCACAGGGTAACGTGTGGCAGGGACAGAACAACAAGAAAACATGAATCGTGTAGGAATAGGAATTGTTATTTGGTAATGTTAAGAGTTTCATTAGTAGAGTGATAAAGTCAACAGAAAAATGTAAAACACATTTTAAACTAACAATGAGAATTATTTATGCCCCCTTACCTCATCATGTGACTCATAGTGATCTTGTACAGATTTAGCAATGAAATCATTCAAAGCTCCTATGAATTTCTTCAGTTCATTTAAGGCGGAGGATGGCAAATATTTGAAAACTGGGATAAAATCTGCTAGAAGTCCAGCCCCTGACAATCTTTGGAGGTCATCATTGAGTTCGATGATTTGGAGAAACTCTTTGTCATGATGGTTATATCTCTTACCAAAACACAAAGCACACACAACATTAGCAACGGTAATTGTTACAAGGGGGAGAGGGTTGAAACTTCCCTGCTTTTTTGACAGTTGAGTCATGCTGTTAACAAGCTCTGATGCTTCAGCAGAAATATATTCTTCAAGGCGACAAGAGCAGTTTGATGAACTGGCCTCTTCTTTTGAAAAAGACCTTAAAGCATTTTTCATTATCTTCTTATGTATTTTCCAGGCCTCACTGTACTTCTCTGAAAAAGTCATACTTTGTCCGTTGGCCAGCAGGGAAAAAGAATAGAATTTTGGCCTGTCTGCAAAATGCTCTCCTTGTTTACCAAGAACCTTTCTCACTGTGTCAGAGCCACTTACAACAACAACAGGCATCATGCCCAATTTGATGAGGAAGACATCTCCATATATTTTCCTCATCTCAGTAAGAGATATATGAGCTTGATCTCCAAGCTGAAAGAAGTTGCCTATAATAGGCAGTGACCATGGGCCTGGCAAGGCAAGTGCTCTCCTTTTGTGTGACCACAGTACTAGCAAAACAGTTGTTAAGGAAATTAGAACCAGAGTCAATTCAAATGAAAAGGGGTCTCCAAGTAGGTTCTTCAAAGCTGTAAAGAAATGAAACTCAGTATTTTATTACTTCCCATACAGTTTGTATTGCTAAAGAATCAGATTTTGGTCACTTTTTGGAGGAAGCATCCAATCATCATTATTCCCCTCTCCCTCAGTAAGCATACACTCCAATGCTTGGCACAGTCCATAATCACAGATATCCCACTAAAAATATATATAAGCTTTTAACAATTTGTCTTGTTTATTACCTTATTGTGCTCACAAGATAAAAGGAATATAATACGTATCTGAATAATATAATGTGTTCATCTCTTTTATTGGGGCTTGCTCAGAGGAGAAAGAGAAAGTGCACTCAATAAGCTTTCTTACATGATTACTATGACTACCAAGAGTAATGATACACAGCTACAAGCACACATAGTACACACATTCATTCTTCTCACATAAAAGTACTATAAGAATACAAATAAAAAAAGACTTACAAAATGATAACATTTATTTTAATATCAACAAAATCTAAAAGGAGTATGCATATATTATATTCAATTCCTCTCTTCCTGAATTTTTAATAACATAACCTTATTTTGTCCCCTTTTAATGTTTCAGTTCAAGCCCATTGCAGGAGTGCATTCTCGTGGGATTTCAAGCTCCCGGCTCTGCTGGGAGGCACAGTGATGTCACCTGTGTCTCACGGACGCTCTGCATGCTGGGGCCAAGATAAGCATTTTTTTATTATTCTTTTGGTTGAACGGCTTGTTTACTTTTTAAAGATTAAGGATAGGAATGTTGTGTTTGTTGAACACCATGCAAGCTTACTCATAATTTATACTGCATAATGAATGATTGCTATAATGAACAGGTAGATGGCGCCATCACACAGTAAAAAAAAAAAAAGCCGGAATCTTCTCTGGCATACCTTTCTTATGAAAGAGCTATTTTCTGTATTCTCAAAGGAGAGAAGGCATCACAAGCCAACTTGTGTCACCTGCTTTTCTTTGTCAATAAAAAAAATAATTATTTTATAGCAAAGGTGTGCTGATGAAGATTGATGTTTTTAGTTCAGCCATTCTCAACCAGGGTTCTGTGGGACCTTAGGGTCCCCCCAGAGGTTTCTAGGGGCTCCTCTAAACTTTGACTGTTTGTGTTCTCAATTAATAGTGCCTGCATAGTTTCAGAGCCAATGCCATTTGGCAGAGCCAGACACAGTGTGACATTTTGACCACCGCTGTAATGGGTCATTCTTCCTACTGCCCACCAATACAAATGTAATTTTTTACACTGACACCCAATGAATTGGTTTTAGCAGGGGTTCCTAATGACCTGAAAATATTTGAAGGGTTCTTCTGGTGTAAAAAGGTTGAGAAAGGCAGTTTTAGACAAATGTACAATATATTATGTGTCCCAGGGGTGTGGACGTTTTTTTTAAAAAACTACTTGTCCAAGGACTAAAGCGGGGGCCCGATCTACTTGTCCCTTATGACAATCTACTTGTTCTGATACAAAAAAATTATTTTAACCAAAACCGTATTTAGCAGTGCTGAGAAGCGCTTCTCATTGGTCAGCGCTGTCAGGTGATCGCGCTGACCAACGAGTGCTTGCAATTTGCGCGCGAAATTCAGAATACATGGCACAGGTACAGATAGTACACCCGTACTAGCAGATGTGAAGGACCGTTCGCTGACAGTTAAGTACAGCAGAGAAGGAGAGGAGGCCAGTTTTGTGCGGGTAATTCCATTTTCCCAAATTACTTGGGAAAGTGAATTTACCCTTTAGGGCTGGTGTAGACTTGGGCGATCATGTGCGGTTGCAAAAATTTACATTTTTAATTTTTATTATTTTTGGCAGTTTTTTTTCACTTACCTTTATTGCTATCACACAGGGGATAACAAGCCTCTATGTGATAGCATATGGAGGTGACAGGTTCTGTTTATTGACCCTTTCACCTCCAAAACAAGAGTTCTAGCACAATTCTGTGAGTACTCGCAAGGAGAAGAACAGAGAGTGGACGTTCTCCACTCTGCTCCCCACTCTCTCTAACCTGAACTAGTTTGCCGTGGTCCTGAGTCCCCCAGAAGAGTGGGGGACCCCGAAGACCACGGTGGTAAGGCAGAAATAGGGCGGTGACAGAGGCAGCGGCTGGGGACACAGGCGGAGGGCAGAGAGGCAGCAGCCAGAGAGAGAGAGGGGAGGGGGAGTGGAGTGAGTGAGGGGAGGGGGGGTGAGAATCAGGCTGCTTACAAGTAATCTTGAGCAGCTGTACAGCCGCTCAAGATCTCTTGTACAAAACAGCTCCCACGCTACATTTAGCCGTGCTGCTTGCCCAAAGTGCATGTCCTGGGCGTCGGACGATAAGAATTCCACACCCCTGATGCCCTGAACTTATGTTCCTAAAGCTGTTCTTATTCCCCTACCATTCAGCTGGGAAGGGATTAATGCATAATTCTAATTTAATCAGTGGTAAGAGGCATTTTGACCAGTATTTGCTTGCGGCTTGAAGAAAAAAAATTAAGAAACGCAAAACTGCAAATAAACAACATGTTAAATATCATTTGTGTGCTGTGCTGGTGTGTGTTGTGATACAATGATGCAGGTGTACATTTATCCACAACACAGTGTATCAACACAGTGTATCACAATGCATGGCAATGCATCACAATGCTTTGCCATGCGCTGCCACACAGCTGAATTAATGTTATTTCGAAAAGAAAAAAACAGTGCATGTGCAACAGCGCATGTGCATGGCGTACACCACAATAAGGTGCACACTTTTGCATGTGTATAATGTGTGTGTGTGTGGGTAGGGGAGGGGGGTTGTGTTTTACTTATTTATGTTTTACTTTTGGGGGGCTTTGCTAAAATATCAGGGGTCTAAACAGACCCCTGACATTTCCCTTTTGAAATAGAAAAAGAAGTTGAGGACACAGAGTCCTCAATCTCTTTTTCTGCAGCCTCTGTTCTGAATTAATGGAAAGCACTCAGTACAAAGGCTTGGTATTCATTCAAAAACTGGACATAGTAAATATTTACTATTAACCAGTTATGAATGGGTAGAAGCCTCTGTAGTGAGTGCTTCTACCCATTCAGAAACTCATGAATGAACAGGAAGTGATGTAAAGCACTTCCTGTTCATTCATAACTGGGGACACATGGTACTACGTGTTCCCAGTTGTTTACAAACACTGATCCTCTCACCCTCCATCCTGACCCGCTCAGCCACGCACAGATCACAGAGCCACTGGCCATCCTGAATCTGACAGACGGCGGCTCTGCTCTCCTCACTGCTCCGCCATCCAAAATTACATTGCTCCCTCCTCCGCCCCCCCCCCCCTCCGCAAGCCTCAGCACTGTATTTTTCCTCAGATCACGCTGCCTAAGCCCATACAGGTGGGAAGAGCAGAGGGGATCCAGCATGGAGTGGCTCTGGGTGGGGAGGAGAGAGAAGAAGAAGCTGACAGATGCTGGGGGCCTGGGGGGGGGGGGGGGGGGGGCCCCGGGAACGAGCGGCGGCTGGCCGCAATTCAGGATGGCCGAGC